TTCGCTATCTACACCCCCACCCCCGTCACAAACCAGCCGTGCTGGGGAGTACTGCAAAATGACTCGAGCATCCCGAATTTCTGTAGCTTTTGATGCTACTGAGGGGCCTTCAGTGCTTCCTCTGTTTACGTGGGTGTTCCTTGACTTGCGAACATTTGTCCAGACATTAATTATTACTGATTTCCTGCCGCTGATGGTATCAGGACAGTATCTCAGAGGGTGAGCTGGGGAACAAGCCCACGTCTTGTAAACAGGACATTTTCCTTCTCTCTAGAGAGGCCTGAGTCCTTTTGAAGATTACGTTCGCCTGAATCTGAAAGAGCACACAACGACTTTTTAAGCTCAAGTGTGAGTGTGAGTCAGGTTCTGGACTCGGGGACATGAATGATTGCACGATTCCTGTGGGACTGTGCTCGTTCTGTGCTTCAAACGTTACTGGCAAGTTTTCACAGATGATGCAGATCCTCCTGGGGCACCTGTCGGGATACCTTTGGTCAGAGAACAGTTTTCTGGTCACCCACATTTGCAATCCTATCCATATAGACTGCAGTTGAATTTGATAGACAGTGCAGAGAGCAGGGTTCACATCTACAGGTGGAAGCTGCAGAGATGCAGTGCATGAGCCTTAAATTCCACAACATTTGGCAGTCAAGATTTCCTCGAAAGGTGGCCATTCTCAGCCATCCCATGATCCTCTCTGACATGCTGTTGTCTCATGAGGAAAGATTGAGCAGGTTGGGCCCATATTCATTGGACCTTTGAGAAATGAGACATATAAAATATGAGGGAGCTTGACAGGAAGGATGGTGAGAGGATGTTTTCCCACTGATGGACCTGTAAAGACTGCAGCAAGTCTCATTCCTTCGGACATCCCAGGGGTTTCAGCAGTGAGTGGCTCTTCGGTTTGTAAACATTAACAACGAAAGATCCAGGAATGTTGAAGGTGCCAGCAATACCACAATGCTGGCAAGCGGAGAATGTATTGGGATGGACTTCCTGGAATTCTCATTCAGGCACCAGTTCCCTACAATTCCAATTGATAGATGTGCCCAGACTGTGGGATGTGAGACTCACATTTATTGCCCTTGAGAAGATGGCAGTGAAGTGCCCTCTAGAACCCTAGGGTGTAGGGACCCCCACACAGCACTGTTAGGGAGGGAGTTCCAGGATTTTGACCCAGCAACACTGAAAGAATGCTGGATATATTTCCAAGTCAGGAAGGGGAGTGGCTCGGAGGGAAACTTGCAGGGAGTGATGTTGCCACGTATCTGCTGCCCTTGTCCTTCTAGATGGTAGAGGTCACATGTTTAAAAGGTGCTCGCGATGGATTATTCGTGATGCATCTTTGCAGCTGGTACATGCTGCTGCCACTGTGTATCATTGGCATAGGAAGTGAATGCTGAAGGTGTTGGATGGGATGCCAATCAAATGGGCTGCTATATCTTGAATGGTGCTGAGCGTTTTTGGAGCTGCACTAAGCTAGGAAAATGGGAACATTCCAACACACTCCTGATTGTGTTCTGTGCAGACAGGAGGTGAGTTAATAAATGCTGGTTTATCAGCCTCTGACTGAAATTCATGTGGCTGGTCCAGCTCAGTTTCTAGTCATTGATAACCCCCAGGATATTGATGGGGTGATTGTTTGTTTTTTTCAGTAATTTACAGACCTCCGATTGTGTAAGCTCAAACCCATACTAGGAAAACATAATGATGAGCTGGGGAGTCGGTTAGAACAGAGCTTGCAAAGGCTATTGCCAGCTAATTGAGCCAATGGGGCCCAATCTTCAGAGGCTTTTCTCTGATGTGGTCTCATTAGTGCCACTCATTAGAGGATCTGTGGGAGTGCAGATAGTCACGGACTCCAGTCTGGAGCACTGCCAGATAGTAGCAGCTGCCCAATATCAAACCAGAACCTAAAAACAAATTAAACTGCACCCACCAACAAACACTCATTACGCAGAGCCGTTCGCGGGAAAGCGAGTGGATGTGGGAATGCAGAGACGAATGAGAGAGTGGGAGAAACAGAGAGTGCAGGAGAAGAGAGAGGGAGGAGAGGGAAATGGAAAAGGGGTAACGAGGGAGGGAGGAGGAAGACGGGTGACTTTAGCCACATCAAGTGCAGTGTCAAAGTGGTTTTAGACACAGAAGCTAAAACTGCATTTTAACATTCTATGGAGACCAGATTTCTAGATTGATCTTAATTCTTGCTTTTAGTTGCGAGACTGTTAATGTTTGTGGTACTTTTACAAAATAAACAGGTTGATTTGTAGCAGAAAGAGTCACTTTTTTGAAACTTTTGTGAAAGCTAAAACAGCTGCACATGAACCATTTGGACTAATTTTAATGAGATGCTTTTACCCCCATCACTCAGTTTTGGCTATTTTTGTGAAGGATCCCATCATCCATGCGTTTCAATCCCATCATGGTGCTGCATTCTCAATAAAGAAAGCCAAAGCCACTCAAACCTTCTGTCAATTTAGAACCCTGTCAAGGCACTTCCTCATTGTCTGTGTAACATCCCTAGCGATGTCTCCATACTCTCTCTGTCTTTGTCCACAGACATTGTGTGCATATAAGTCCCTTCTAAATGATGTATGGATGTATGGAAGAAAAGATCTTGCACAATGCCATGTTCATACATCAGGCACTAAGCTGCACGGAAAAATGTTTCAAGATTGACTTAAAAAAGACAGGTCACCGATTTGAAATATTATCTTTATGTTTCTCTGCGCAGATGCTATGAGACCTGCCAAGTATTTCTGGGAATTGTTGTTTTCATTCCATCTGAAAACATGCTTCACACAGCTCCCCTCGCCCCCACAGAGGGTCTCAGCCATTCTCAGTGAAGGACTTGTTCAATGGATTTGGTTTTGCTTTGTCAGATTTCCCTCATGATTACCCTACCTCCCCTTTAAAAGCATCTGTGGTATTTGCCTCAGCTGCTGTTACACTATTACGAGGTCCCATCTATGTCTTCCTTAACTTTAGGCTTATCTCATCCCACAGGCTCCTAGTTGTCCACCTACATTCTACCTACATGGGGACAGCATGGTGGCTCAGTGGTTAGCACTGCTGCCTCACAGCACCAGGGGATTGTGCTTGATTCCAGCCTCAGGCAACTGTCTGTGTGGAGTTTGCGTAGGTTTCCTCCAGGTGTTCTGGTTTCCTCCCACAGTCCAAAGATGTGCAGGTTAGGTTGGATTGGCCATGCTAAATTGCCCATAGTGTCCAGGGAAATGCAGGCTTTAAGTGGATTAGCCATGGTAAATGCAGGGTTACTGGGGTGTGTCTGGGTGGGATGCTCTTTGGAGGGGCGGTGTGGACTCGATGGGCCAAATGGCCTGCTCCCACACTGTAGGGCTTCTATGATTCTACCCTCCCTTTCTTTAAGGTCATCTAAAACTGTGCTGACTGTGTCCTAACTCGCACCAAGGCATGTTCACCTGAACTTACTGGCTTGATGCAGGTCGGTCTCAAATTTTGTTTGACGATCTGTCCTGTAAAGCACCAATGCAAATTGGTGAAAATGAAGTAGGGAAATTCCAACTCAGTTCTCTATTGCATTTATTCATGGTTACTGGTCTCTAGTTTTGAACTCAGCGCACATGAAAGCATCTTCTCTAACACTCACTCTGTCAAGCCCTTTCATAATTTTGAAGATCTCAACTAGGTCATCTCTCAAAGTTCTCTGTCAAATAGGAAGGCATCCAAGCCTGCTTAAGTTTCTCTCGCCAGTTATGACTTCTGGGGTGTTGTTCGTTGTGGTAAAATCATTTTCTCACACTTTCTCCAGTGTCTCTATATCTTTCATATAATTTGGAGAGCAGAAATGTGCTTCACAGTAAGTGAATGTGGAGGCTGCTTGCTGTTGAGGCTTAATCGTAAGTAGATCCAAGCCTGAGATAGAATTTTAACCATGAAAGGAATCCAGAGTTATGGGGAAAAAGGGGAAAAGTGGAGTTGAGGATGATCAGATCAGCTATAATCTCATTGAATGTGGAGTGGACTCATGAAAAGCCTCCTTTTCCTACTTCTTAGGGTCTAATATCTCTCAGAACTCTGTGGAATGTGCCCTTTTAGAGCTGAGCAATGTGATTTAACAAGCTTGATTGCCAGTCCTAATGTTATTCATAAACTTTGACCTTACCACTTTCGTTTGGAAATCATCCAATAGTGGGGGGCAGGGTGAAACATCTTCTGTGTCTTCGATGATCGCCAGAACATTCGGCAGCTCGCTTGCTGTTGGATAACAGTGGAATTACTTCAAAGTATTGGATGAATCAGGAAGATGCACATAGTCTTCACTGTAGTACCAATAGTGCATTGCTACCACATGCTAATTGCTGCAACTCAGCAGTGTTGGCAATGTCCAAGACAACAAGGTGCAGGGCTGGATGAACACAGCAGGCCAAGCAGCATCATAGGAGCAGAAAGGCTGACGTTTCGGGCCTAGACCCTTCATCAGAAAAGGGGGAGGGGAAGGGGGTTCTGAAATAAATAGGGAGAGAGTGGGAGGCGGATAGAAGATGGATAGAGGAGAGGATAGGTGGAGAGGAAACAAACAGGTCGAAGAGGCAGGGATGGAGCCAGTAAAGGTGAGTGTAGGTGGGGTGTTGGGGAGGAGATAGGTCAGTCCAGGGAGGACAGACAATTCAAGGGGGCGGGATGAGGTTAGTAGGTAGGAGATGGGGGTCCGGCTTGAGGTGGGAGGAGGGGATAGGTGGGAGGAAGAACAGGTTAGGGAGGCGGGGACGAGCTGGGCTGGTTTTGGGATGCGGTAGGGGGAGGGGAGATTTTGAAACTGGTGAAATCCACATTGATACCATTGGGCTGCAGGGTTCCCAAGCGGAATATGAGTTGCTGTTCCTGCAACCTTCAGGTGGCATCGTTGTGGCACTGCAGGAGGCCCAGGATGGACATGTCGTCTGAGGAATGGGAGGGGGAGTTGAAATGGTTCGGGAGGTGCAGTTGTTTATTGCGAACCGAGTGTAGGTGTTCTGCAAAGCGGTCCCCGAGCCTCCGCTTGGTTTCCCCAATGTAGAGGAAGCCACACCGGGTACAGCGGATGCAGTATACCACATTGGCAGATGTGCAGGTGAACATCTGCTTGATGTGGAAAGTCTTCTTGGGGCCTGGGATGGGGGTGAGGGAGGAGGTATGGGGGCAGCTGTAGCACTTCCTGTGCTTGCAGGGAAAAGTGCCGGGTGTGGTGGGGCTGGAGGGGAGTGTGGAGTGGACAAGGGAGTCACGGAGAGAGTGGTCCCTCCGGAAAGCAGATAAGGGTGGGGAGGGAAAGATGTTTTTGGTGATGGGGTCGGATTGCAGATGGCGGAAGTGTCGGAGGATGATGCGTTGGATCCGGAGGTTGGTGGGGTGGTACGTGAGGACGAGGGGGATTCTCTTTTGGTTCTTATTGCATGGACGGGGTGTGAGGGATGAGTTGCGGGAGATGTTGGAGACACGGTTGAGGGCGTTCTCGACCACTAAGCGGGGGAAGTTACGGTCCTTGAAAAACAAGGACAACTGAGATGTACGGGAGTGGAATGCCTCATCCTGGGAGCAGATGCGGCGGAGGCGAAGGAATTGGGAATAGGGAATAGCATTTTTGCAGGAAGGTGGGTGGGAGGAGGAGTATTCTAGGTAGCTGTGGGAGTCGGTGGGCTTGAAATGAATATCGGTTTCTAGGTGATTGCCCGATATGGAGACAGAGAGGTCCAGGAAGGGGAGAGAGGTATTAGAGATGGTCCAGGTAAACTTAAGGTTGGGGTGGAAGGTGTTGGTGAAGTGGATAAACTGTTCGAGCTCCTCGTGGGAGCACGAGGCGGCGCCGATACAGTCATCAATGTAATGGAGGAAGAGGTGGGGTTTAGGGCCGGTGTAGGACGGAAGAGGGATTGTTCCACGTAACCTACAAAGAGGCAGGCGTAGCTTGGGCCCGTGCGGGTACCCATGGCCACCCCCTTTGTCTGTAGGAAGTGGCAATGTCCAGCACTGATCTCCTCTTCACCTCTATGGGAGTCTGCAGTTGATGTGAAAGATAGACCACGATGAATCAATAAACAGGCTCAAAGGGCCTTAGGGCCTACTCCCACTCCTCTTTAATAGTGGCCTGTGCTGACCAAAAATATATCTGTATTCCCCCCACCTCCCATCAGTCACCCCTGTCTCATGTGAGAAAGTGACCAAATCCGAGCCCACTGCCCTTTGATGAGAGCCAATAGGAGGGACCGTTCACTATACAGGAGCTGACAGGCTCTGCGGCCTCACTAAGTTTGTTTCCTGTAGGTGTAGAGATATGGTTCACTCTCACTGGAACCAGCTTCCAACTAATAAATTCCCCAGCAAAACAGCTTCTCTAGAACTCCTGTCTCAATGCACTATCAAGAGGAGGCGATGGCCGAGTGGTATTATTGCTGAACTGTTAATCCAGAGACCCAGGTAATGTTCTAGGAATCATGGTTTGAATCCCAACATGGCATTTGGTAGAATTTGAATTGAATAAAAATCTGGAATTGAGGGTCTAACGATGACCTTCAATCCATTGTCAATTGTCAGGAAAAACCCATCTGGTTCACTAATATCTTTAGGGAAGAAAAGTGCCATCCTTACCTGGTCTGGCCTACATGTGACTCCAGACCCACAGCAATGTGGTTGACTCTTAACTGCCCTTTGGGCAATTAGGGATGGGCAAGAAATGCTGCCTGGCCAGTGACCCCCTCATCCCGTGAATGATTGAGGAAAAAAACCCCTCAAAACAGCCAGTAAAGTGCTGTCACTGCTGTAATAAAGGAAACATGTCTGCCAACAACAACATAGCAAGATCCCACAAAGAGATATTGAGCAGGTTTGCTTTTAGATACTGATTGAGAGGTAATTATGGTGCAGGACACTAATGATTAACTTTACCCCTCCCCCATTGGCCTTCATAGCAGCGCCCTGGGGTCTTTTCAACGTAGATGCATACCAGGCCTCCATTTCATGTCTCACCTGAAAGCCAGCACCTCCGACAGTCCAGTGCTTCATTAACCCTGCATTGGAATGGCAGCCTAAGTATCGTGTTCAAACTTCAGGAGAGGGACTTGGTCCATGACCATCAGATTCAAGAGGCAGGACTGCTACCCAGTCAGCCACAGGTGACATGAAAATACAGGAGGACATTAGCTGCTGAGGTCTGCGGCCATTTACTGGCTCTCAGCAGCACTGCCACTCGAATGGGTTGTTCAGGAAATCTGCAAAGAAAGGGAATACCACCTACCGTTTGTGGGGAGCTGCATTTCCGAGCGATTCTCTGTCAGAGTAACACAACTCATGAACATGTAATCTGCATCCTCAGCTGGCACTGAAACACAGGAGAATCTCTCATTAGACATCCTCAGTCATTGGTTTGCTATGTGCAAAAGTGTCTGTCCTGAAAAGTTTCCCCTCTAAACTTCCCACTTCCCCAGTTCAGGAATGGTCGACATGGTCTGCCCTCGGATGACTGTCTGCGTGGCTTTCCTGTGGGTGCACCAGTTTCCTACAACAGTCCAAAGATGTGCAGGTTAGGTGGATTGGCCATGCTAAATTGCCAATAGCATCCAGGGATGTGTAGGTTAGGTGGATTGGCCATGGGAAATGCAGGGTCACAGGGATGGGACGGGGGTGTCGTGGATCTGGGTGGGATGCTCTTCAGAGGGTTGGTGTGGACCCGATGGGCTGAATAGTCTGCTTCCATACTGGAGGGATTCTATGATTCTATGAAGTTCTTCCCAGAGGCTAAACAAGAAGCAATTTATCTGTGCATTTGGAAAGCAGTTCAGGTACAAGCACACTGAACCCTGTGACCTCTGCTCTTCAAAGAAAGGGAAGAGGCAAAACTCAAATGTTTTCATTCCAAGGGAGCCCAGGACGTGAAGATACCATTATTGACTGCAAATTAACCAGACTACTTACATAAATACAGTGGTTACAAGAGCGAGGCAGAGGCAAGAAATCCTACAGTGAGTAACTCATCTCCTGTCTCCCCAAAGCCATCTACAAGGCACAAGTCAGGAATGTGATGGAATCTGCCTCACTTTCCTGGATGGGTGCAGCTCCAACAACACTCAAGAAGCTCACCACCATCCAGGACAAAGCAGCCTGCTTGATTGGCACCACATCCACAAGCATCCACTCTCCCACCACCGATACTCAGTACCATCTACAAGATGCACTGCAGCAACTCACCAAGGGTGCTGAAAGAGCGCCTTTCAAATCCATGATCTTTATCATCTGGAAGGACAAGGGCACCAGATACATGAGAACATCACCCTCTGCAAGTTCCCCTCCAAGTCATACATCATCCTGATGGGGAAATATATCACCATTCCATCACTTACCGGATCAAATCACTCTCTAGTTGCACTGTGGGTCTACCTACATCAAATAGATTGCAGCAGTTCAAGAAAGCAGCTCACCACCTCCTCAAGGGCAACTAGGAACATGCACTAAATGCTGGTCCAGCCAGTGATGCCCACATACCACGTGTGAATAAAAAAGGAGTTTATGACACCGGCCTCATGGGTGAATGGTACGTACTGAATCCAGTTTGCTGTGCACACGGACTTCCGTTCAGCTCTTGAAGCAACTCTGCCACAGATTCCTTCTTTGACTCAGCAACACAGCTTAAACACTCCGTGTCCAGCACCTTCAGGAATGACTGAAGCTCTGAGAATAACTGATCCAAATCTGAGGAGAAAGAGAGTGATTAAATTCTGCCACTTCATTTGAAGAGTGATCATGATTCAGGAGGACACCAGAAACTGGACCAGGAATTGACCATTCAGCCCGTTTTGCTTACTCTGATATTCAGAATGTTCACAGGTAGTCATGGGCATTGACTGCACCTTCTCGTCAATTCCCCAAATCCCTTGATTTCCTGAAACAAAATTTAGTCCATCTTACCTTCAAGTATGCTCAACAATGACGCATGTACAGTCCTCCATGCCCTCTGTAATCTGTACAGAGTTATAGAGTAATACAGCACAGAAACAGACCCTTTGGTCCAGCCAGTCCATGCCGAACAGAATCCTACACTTAACTAGTCCCACCTGCCTGCTCCTGGCGCATACCCCTCTAAACCTTTCCTATCCCTGTACTTAACACAAATGTCTTTTAAATGTTGTAATTGTGCCCACATCCATCACTTCCTCAGGAAGTTCATTCCATGTGCAAACCATCCTCTGTAAAAAAGTCAGTAATTTGGGAGATGTTACGTTCCAAGAGTGGGAAGTGAAGCTTTTTTAAAATTAATTCATGGGATGAGGGTGTCGCTTGCTAGGCCAGCATTTATTGCCCATCCATAATTGCCCAGAGGGCTGTTAAGAGTCAGCCACATTGCTGTGGGTCTGGAGTCACATGTTGGCCAGACCAGGTAAGGATTGCAGTTTCCTTCCCTAATGTGAACCAGATGGGTTTTTTTCCTGACAATCGACAATGGATTCATGGTCACCAGACTCTGAATTCCAGATTTTTAAAAAAATTGAATATAAATTTCACCTTCTGCTATGGCGGGAGTTCAACATGAATTCCCCCAAACATTACCTGGGTCTCTGGATGAACAATTCCAATGATAATACCACTAGGCTGTCACCTCCCCTAGCTAGAGGAACTCAAATCTGATGGGCTGACTGGCCTTTCCTCATCTCTTCCTGTCCATTCCTGAAGACACTGAGTCTTTGCAGGCCTACAGGATCTGTGCACAGTTTCATCTGTGAGTAACAACAGTGAGTGGCAGCATCAGGGGCAAATTTTGATCTTCTTCTGACCATACAATCCTCTGGGAAATCTGCACCCACCTGATTCTGGCCTGTCGCACATCCTCCAGTTTTTGTTAGCTGGTACCCAAGCAATCAGTGGCCTGGACCCAAACCACAGGCCTCTTAATTCTTTCCTTTTCTAAGTCCTTGCTTAAAACCTACCTGTTTGACTCAGCATTTGATTGCTTATCATGATGCTTCCTCAGTGTTGCCTGACACGTGAAAGGTTCCCAGTTCATAATGGGTCAGAAACAGCAGCCCATCTTCAAGATAAGGTTGTACAAAAGGCTTATGGCATGCTTGCCTTGATTGGAAGGGGCATTGAGTATAAGGATAGACAACTTCTGCTGCAGCTTTACAGAATTTTATTTAGACCACACTTGGAATATTGCGTACAGTTCTGGTCACCACACTACCAGAAGGATGTGGATGCTTTGGAGAGAGTACAGAAAAGGTTTACCAGGTTGTTGGCTGGTATAGGGGGTTTTAGCTATGAAGAAACGTTGGATAGACTGGGTTTGTTTTCGATGGAACACAGGAGGTTGAGAGGCGACCTGATTGAAGTTTATAAGATTGTGAATGGCATGGATAGAGTGGAAAGTATGAGGCTTTTTCCCCAGGGTGGAGGGGACACAGGTTCAAGGTGCGTGGGTTGGGGTGGGGGGATTAGTTTAAAACAGATATGTGAGGAAAATTTTTCACACAAAGGATAGTGAATGCCTGGAACGCATTGCCAAAGGAGATGATGGAAACAGATGCAATAACACCATTCAGGAAGCACCTGGATGAATACATGAACAGGAAGGGAATAGAGGAATACAGATCCTGTAAGAGAAGACAGTTTTAGTATAGAAGGGCAAAATGTATTGGCACAAGCTTGAAGGGCTGAAGGGCCTGTTCCTGTGCTATATTGTGTTTTGTTCTTTTTGTGGTGGGTCACAGACACTAGAAGATCCTTGGGATGATTTACCATACTAAAGGTGCTATCTAAATGCAAATTGTTGCTGAGCTGACACAGGGTGGGGTGGAGGGTTTTGGGGGGGGGGGGGGGGGGGGGGGGTGGTCAAAGAGCAAGAAGAAAGGTTTCTGGAATCACAGGCCGCCTCTCCTGGAGATTGAGGAGCAAACGAGCAATGGGGAGGTTGCAGCCCTCAGATCAGGGAGATCTTCAGGAAAAGAAAAAAGTAATCAAACATATCATTTTAGTTTCTGTGCCTGTCAATTCTCATTGGCTGTGAAGCATAATCAAAAGTTCTTTTTCCTATCTATATTAAAAGCTCCTTGCATTGTGGGAGCCTACAGTGCTAATCTTGTCTCATTCACACAGTTGACTGAACAAGTAACTGTGTCAGGAGAATCAATGGTCTTTACTCTCAGTGCTCCATGAAAGAGAGTTCATAACATGCTCTGCAGCTGAATGAAGTAGTTTATAAACACCAGAGGATCTCAGCAGCTGCCACAAAGAATCTCATTGTTAACTCAAAATCATTTCTGCATCTCCTTGTGAAGTCGTGGATAGTGGGGGGAAGGAGGAAAAGGAAGCTATGAGGCGTGGAGGTAACTGTGTCACAGAATAACCTGGTATGGTGACTTAATGCAGCGTACGGCTTTTAACCTTTCACTGGTCTTTCCACTCCAATTTCTTGAAAAATTCCACATTGTTGGATTAGAATGATCATCCAACTGTTGTACATCTTCTTCACAATAGTCAGAAAAGCAGAAACTAAAGTAGGACACAAATAGCTCCAATGTATTATCCACTCCACAAGGCTTAATCCGCAGTACAGTACGTATGCTGGGCTATTTGGCCCATCATGTTGATGCTGGCTCTATGACAGAGCTTTCCAATTAGTTTCACCTACTCTTGTACCACTTCTCATGGATGACTGATCATTGACAGGAAAGTTAACAAAAGGCAGATGAAGAAGAGAAGGATTAAGATGCAGCGAGTAAGAGAGAGATGAGCGAAAATAAGAATGGGAGAGAGAAAGGGAAAGGCAGCTACATCAGCTCAAGGAAAAATCAACTATCTCATCCTCTTACCGAGAGAAAGTGGCTCTTCCCTTGCATGGCAGAAGAGGCATTTCAACTCAATTAGGTCACAGTCAACAATCTCAATGAACATTTCACTAACAAGGCTAACAATTCTTAAAGCAGTAACTTGTTTGCAATTACTGATCTGTACATATTGCACCTCCAACTATGCTATCCCAAGGCATTACAACATGACAACTTGGTACATAGTATCCATTGAAAAGATTGGCAACACTTCACTAACAACAGCTTGCATTTATATGGAACCTTGTAACTCAGCTGAAACACCCTGAGGAACTTTGGCAGGAGCATTATCAGGTAAAATTTGACACCAAGCCACAGAAGGAAACATTTTAAACAAGTGACTACAAGTCAAAGACAAATGGAGGGCTTCCAGGGAATTCCAGACTTGGGGCCTCAACAGCTAGAAGGCCAGGCCATGAATGGTGGAGCAATCAAGGTCTGAGATTTTGAAGACACTGCAATTGGAGGAGCTCTGATGTTGTAGGGCTAGAGGGGCTTACAGAGATTTGGGGATGTGGTGGGTGAGGCCGGGGAAGTAATTGAAAACCAGCTCGAAGAATTTGTAAAGTGATGTATTGCAGGACTGAGAACTGACATCAGTCAGTAAGCCATAGGAATAAGAGGTGAGTAGGACTTGATGCAAGTAGTTCAAAAGATAGAACTGGCTGTGTGGCATTTTGAGATCTCCTGAGATTGCAAAAGATGTGACATGAATGTATCTCCTTCTACATAACAAGCTTCCAACATTACAGCTTTTTTTAGGAGCACACAGTGGACTTAAGATAGACGAGTATATGGAATCACACAGTACAGAAGAGGCCCTTTGGCCCATCAAGTCTGTACTGCCAAAGCTACACTAAATCTACGCTAGTCCTGCTAATCAGAAAATTCTTCTCAATCTGAGTAGCATCATGCTGGATGAGTGACTTAATTCAGTCTTTGTAATGAGCCTTTGTTGAATTTATAGTCTGTTATGTTCGCTGAAACACTGTTAATCCATTTTAACAGTGGAATACTTGACATTTTTCCTTTGAAATATTTTTGAAGCCAACCCAGCTAATAGGACACTTGCTGTTTTCTTGCCTGCCGATCTACCTTGTCTATATTATCTACATATTTAAAACAATCTGAGTTTGGCGCATTCCTCCTGACTGGCTTGTAAACAAGTGAAAGCTCAAGATTTGTTATAGCATTTACTTCCGGTCATGTTTTTCTAGCTCCATTGGTTCTATGGTTCAAGCTTCCACGCTTGTGACAAACTTTGGGTTGGTGGTGGGAGAATCAACTGTATTAACCACCTTCACTAGACCATTGTAATTGTTTGCAGGATTCCTGTCACAAAGTATCTGTAAACCTTATTATTCCCCTCATTCTCTTCCCCAAAGACACCGACTCTCACTCAGGTAAGATTTTGTTGCCAGATGTTAGCAATACCTTCCCCAGGTGTCCACCCAAACTCGATCACGGTGCTTACTGCAGCCAGTCTAACCCTGCCCCTCATATAGGGTGGTTGGGGGGAGGTGGTTACTGGACTGTGCTCAGTGTCATGGACCAGATCAGAACCCCTCAAAGCCATAGCGTTGTCACATCAGGACCGAGAATATAGACTGACCTTTGCCCTGTAGTCCAATACCCTGTGGAATTGGAGTCAGTGTAAACCTGGCATAGGCCAGAGATTAGACCACCTTGTAGGTGTGCCTCAGGACCATGCCAGGAAATGTTTGCCCGCTAACCATTGGTGTAGCTTCACCAATTCTTTATTTGGGCTTATTTCGTTTTGCAATTTTGTCTATTTATGAAACGTCAGGAGATAAAGCACCTGGGTAAGTCTGTCGTTTTCTTACCTCATTGTAAATAAGCTGCTTGCA